GGAAGGAGATTATTTTAATTTGTGACTACGAAAAGGTTCTACTAATACACCTGGTTCGTGTTGCTCCCTTCTGTGTCTGTCGTCCTGGTGTGATGGTTCACCTTTATACCTGTTCCCATAGACTCGTGTTTCCCAAACTTTTTTTTCTGGGGACCCATATTGTAAAAATCACAAACCTTCGCAACTCAAGTCAGTAGACATTACTCGTGAACTCCTGGGAAACATGATGCGGGACGACCCAAACAAATTTCTTGTGACCCACCTGAGGGTCGCGACCCAGGTCCGTCCATCCATCCATACAGACTGGCTGGATTTAACTCCTTTCTTGCCTGAAATCTACTTTATTTCCTGATGGAGTTACTAATGACATGTCTCTCACTCTTTGTGTATAACTGTGTCCGTCCATCCATCCATCCATCCATCCATCCATCCCAGAAACATCTCATCACTCTGGTTACCTCCTGTTCCACAGCTGCCTACAGCAGCGACTAAAAACCACCGTAGGTCGATGCCCAAAGTGTTTAACCTTGAGCCAGACCGTCCACCGTTTCGTCCTTAAGTGTCTGCTCTCCCTGTGGACTGTGGACGCTGAATGGAGAACCCTAAACCCCCTTAACCTCATCTGCGGGTCTGCGTGCCTCCGACACTCTGGCTGCGTTCTCCGGAGGGTCCCTGAGTAAACAGATACACGTACACACACACACACACACACATACACATGCATCGCATGCCCCCCACACGGAGCCCGGTCTCTAATTGACTGATATTCAAGTAGACCTGAGGCTGTTAACTGCCGAGTTAGTCACGGCAACGAAGGGACGGAGCATGTGCAGAACATCTATAAAACCCTACATGGCCTTGTGTCTCTGTTTGTCTGACTGACTTTTCCTTCTCTGTAATTAGTAGGTTTTTTTTCTTTCTCAGTTTTTAGAGAGCAATAACTCTTGCCTTATTTCTTTGACGGACATGATTATTTATTCCAAGTGTTTGGTTGGCTAGCACATCAACCATTGTTTTGTACTTATGTCTCTCTCTCTGTGTGTGTGTAGAGTGAGTGGGACAAAATTCAAGCCGTCCTCAAGTGTCTTTTTTTTTTTCCCCTCACTCCATCACCAAGGGATAAAGCGTTGGCACTCTTTTGTTAAAAAAAATATGCCATCGTGTTCATTTTAAGCCCACAATGTGCACGTTTTTTTTCCACCGTACTGTTACTGGCAGATAGTGTTTCACTGTTTATCTGAGCACGGTGCAACCACGCCGCGGTAACATGGAGCTAACAGCCCGTGGTCTAGTGGTGAGAGGATCGGTTTTGGTATCTAGAGTATCTCAGGTTTGTCCATTCCCTTGGGTTAAATATATATAAATATAAATAAATATATGTGTGTATATATTTATATATATATATGTATATGTGTATATATATGTATATATGTGTATGTGTATATATGTGTATGTGTTTGTATATATGTGTATATATGTATATGTGTATGTGTGTATATATGTATATATGTGTATATATGTATATATATGTATATCTCTCTCTCTCTCTATATATATATATATATATATGCATGCACACACACAAAGACCAGCAAAGTTGATTCTTCTTCTTTTAAATACGATCTTTTAGCAGTTTGTGCTAGAAGTTAACAGTCTTGGCTTAGAGGTTCATCCTGGGTTCAAGTCAAAATATCTAGATTTTATCAAATGACCATTAATCCAACCTAGGGACTCCCAAAGTATGGTGCGCAGACTCCTGGGGACTTCCACTAGGGGGTGCGTGAGATAAAAAATGTGATGGCGATTTGGAGTGTTTTTCTTATTACGCAGAATAAGGACATGCAAGTAAACAAACATCCTGTGCGTGCGAATTGAGGGTGCATCAACCCAATTGGTCTATAGAAGGGGGTGCATGACCAAAAAAAGTTTAGGAACTGCTGGTGTAGACTGACAACCCAAGAAAACCGAAACAAATTAGAACATCACCTCAGTACTGCCCCCGACTGGATATTGCAGAAATACAAGCAAAACTAACAAATTTGACACCAGGCTTAATGTTTTTAATGATTAAGTTTAAACCCAGTAAATGACTTATGGATACAACTGGAGAGTGGAAACAGTGGATCGGAGTCGGGGGGGGGGGGGGGGGGGGGGTGGGGGGGGGGGAGTGGAAACAGTGGATCGGGGTCGGGGGGGAGGGGGGAGGGGTGATGGGGTGGTGGCATATTAGAAGCAAAGTGCCAAAAAAATGATCCCGTGGGTGGATGTACGTCAACTAACTGCTAACATACTCGGCTCGGAATATAAAATGTGAGCGAGTGATACTACTATGAGCTCACCTCCAAACAATGTGCTTCATGTTACTCCATCTGCAACCTTTTTTCCTCTTTCCTCCTCCGTTTTTATAGCCTCTTTCCTTCATCCTCCTCGTCCCCCCCCTCCCCGCCCCCCCCAAACGTTGTGCGTCTGCGGTAATTTAACGGGCTTCTCTCGGAGATCGAGGAACTGCATTTCTTCTTAATTGGATAGTGTTGGGGTGGCACATTAAGAGGCACCGAATGCCTGCTAATGCCAGCGCCGCAGTGATGATGCAGAGCCCGCCGCCATGTGACTGGAGGTTCAAAGCGCTGAGGTCATAACTTCAGAAAGCCACTGAGAACGAGGCTCAGTGACAAATGCCTGGAGATGCTGAGGAGAAACGTCTGAGTCCGTTACCGAGGCAAGAATAACATGAGGTCACTGACATCTTTGATGTGTAACGTGTTAATATTCCACACGCACACTCTTTGATGCGCTGCTGAATTGAAGTGGTTTTGACGCAGACTGGAGTCAAGGAACCAGTGAAGAGTTGTTCGGTTTTGATCGTTGATCTGTTAAACATGTGACATCACTGCATTTGAGATCATACTTTTTACATTTTTACAATGCACAGTTTGTGCCGTGGAATGAGACATTTTTTATTTTCATCAGCTATTTTCTAGACTTAATTCCAAAAATCCATACTTGCCACTAGGGGTTGAAAGTGCATTTTTACTAGAAATATTTTTTACACGCTCTGGGAAATGTAAATAGGTCCATGCAAAAAAGAAATACTGTAATGAATCCCAGTCAGTTCGCTCTAAGATCTGTCTGTCTGTCTGTCTGACTGTCTGTCTGTCTGCCTGCCTGCCTGTCTGTCTGTCTGTCAGTACATCTAATCTACTATTGCAGTTTTCAGAATAATGATACTTAGCAGCAGTGGGCGTTTTTGTAGTCGTTGTTCATAAGTTGCTAAATCTGATATAACAGAAGCCTGACTTATGTTGGTTTATTGTTTAATCAAGATATAACTACATTTTTCAGATGACAAAATCTTTGAAAGTATGTCAATGACACATTTAACATGTTTATTTATTTTTTTTGTCCCTTGTTAGTTTTGTTAGTTCATCAGAATGATTCATCTGGGGAGTCCCTGACCGGGCAGATATTTTGGGTTCAACTTCCTCCATAATAATAATAATAATAATAATAATAATAAAAGGTTATTTTATGACATGCAGCTCCATAGTTGTCCTCGTTGCTGCCTTATTTAAATTCCTCAGGACCAGTGAGTCTGTCAGCTTGTTTTGCTTTCATGGTATTTGCTGTGTGATTCAACATCCCAACAGTTTGAAAATGCGTCTTTGCGTCTGCGTTGTCTTATCTGGAAAGTCAAACATGGACTCGGAGAAAAGGGATGTTGGTCATTTGGACAGGAAAATATTTGTCAGACAGAATCAGTAAATCCCAGCTCCTCCTGGGTCATTTGTGGGTTTTAAGTGTTGAGTGTCGACGATGATCGACGATCCCTTTAGTCCGTATCGGAGGAGTGCAGAAAATAACAACGACTACTCTCTGCCACTGTATTTGTTATCGAGAACACGTTTTGTCATTGGACTTTTTTATCTCATTTGCTCTTCGCTCTTTTCAGTGGATTTACTTTCAGTGAAAACAACTGTGCTGTGACCCAGCCAGTTCTGTCTTCACTTGAAGACAGCTGAGAAAAGACAGAATGTGTCACCAGACCAGAGCTCCCTTCCTTCAGCCAAAGATTTTTTTTTTTTGTTCCCTCAACCCCCTGCCACTGCAGACATGTTTCTCTCATTTTGATGAATTTAACTATTATGTTTACTTCACCGCCTTTCCAAAAGAAAAGTTAATCCCAGACTGGATTTTGTGTGAAGTTTAGAGAAGGTTATTCTTTACTCCCAGTTTCCAGAAGTGATTCTTTAACCTGTAAACA